GAATAAGAGAGTAGAAACGTTAGCATTGCCTGAAAGGACTCGATTCATAAAGACTGACTGAATGCAAACCTTTTCGAATCATTTCGGTCACTTTTGGCATGTCGATAAGTGTAGCCATTGCCCAGCTTACTCCATGAATTTTTCGTTTTGTCAACACTACTATCGAAATATTCAGGATCACCAGAATGGCAAAAGGAACGAATATGTGTAACACCTAAAAGAGGAATCCTTTACGATTCAGGGATTCACCAAGATGGATACTAATGCAAAGTTCTCACAGTCATCACGTAGAAGTTGAATTTCTTATAATGTTCCCCGCCCGCAAGCAAAGGCACGTAGTCGTAACTCTGAAAGGAGTATATTAAAAAAAAATAGGAGGAAATATGATCACGCATGTGCATTACTGTCGTATTGGCACAATCAGGGTCCTTCGGCTTGTTCATAATTACAATGAAATGAAATGTAATGTAATAGAGGATGAACCGGTTGAAGTCTGCAAAGGCTAGTAGCGATATTGACAAGAGGAAGCGCTTCACATGAGACGGATAGCAAATGGAAGGATGACTAGCCATTGTGGAAAACTTGAGTCAAGAAAAATGAAAACGAAAAATGAATGAGAATGAAAAAAGATAGCAGAAACTGAGTTTCTACAGATATAGACCACGATTTTTCCCCATTTTCCCATTCCCATCCCATTTCCTGGGCTATCAAGGCGCATTTTGCATAGTCCCACGTGACATAACCTCGTCATCCGGGCAGTTGATTAGGGCGGTCGTCAACGGGCCGCAGCGCGTGCCAGGAACTATTTGCTTTTCCAGGCTAATTTAGTCATTTTTTCCACCTTGTGAAGATAAGGAGCTGCTAATCTGGGAAAAAGTAGCCAAAACAGTGAAAAGTTGGAAAAATGACTAAATTAGCCTGGAAAAAGCAAATAGTTCCTGGCACGCGCTGCGGCCCGTTGACGACCTAAATCCCCAACTGCCGGATGACGAGAGTAGTTAGAGCAACAATTTTTCGCCCTTTTCGAACAGTTTGGTCCTCCCATCAGACATAGAAGATTGATATGGGTAAGAATAAAGGATAAATGCAAATGTTCGAAGCAGAGATGCCTGCTTTACATGGGTGCCCCTTATACTCCAGGAAATAGGGTACCTTTCCTAGTAGGATCTTCAACCAATTTGTATTCTATTGCATTACATTTTATTTCATCGTAATTATGAGCAAGCAGGAGGGACCTTGAATAAATTTTTCAGAAATAGACATTTAATGCGATTTGTGGCTTACACAATGACTTGCATTAGCTAGATTTGTAGGATTTGTACGCTACCCTCTTTATTCCCTAAGACCGGTCAGGTATCAAACAATATTATCTAAGGGAATTTAAACTCCAGTCAAAACCGTGGAGTTTAGAAGGGAGTCAATCCCCCGTGCGGTAAACCGCAAGCCACTGCTACCATCATTCTGAACTCTACATGGTATCAAAATTGACCTGTCCATAATCAAAGCTCAAAGATAAGATGAAGGCTGTTATTCTCAGAATTTTTTTTGAAAAGTTCTGGTGCGTATGTTCACATTAAGGCCAACGATGCCACTGTAAAAGGTTGGAACGACAGGTCGCCTTCTACATAGACATTGGCTGCGAATGGATATAACTTACATACTTGTAAAACATAAGAGCATAGTTTTTCCCTGTAGGAGGAAACTTGTTGTTTCTTACTGAATTTTCTCGAGGTATCTCATTTCATCACTTTCTATGTATTCATGAAACCGGACACCCTGAAATCCTGAAACCTTATTTACGACTTAAAGACAGCCCCCGCGATCAAAGTGGCTCGTGGTCGCCTTTGCTGTGCAAGTAGTCTAGCCTCCAAGCTAGAAGACTGTTCACCTTTCGCGACTCTATTGTGAGCGTGGAGGCTGCTATAGCCGCTCAAAGTGCTAGTTCTAACTCCTCCTCAGTCGGACCGCCTTTACTTGCTAGATGTCCTCCGACGGAGGCCACTCACTTGTTCTTAGTTGGAGCGGCGGGCATTGCTAATGCCCCTGGATAATTCTGCTCTCCTTCATTACAGTTCACTCATTGGAGGTATTATACATTCAATTCAACCCATTTCGCGAGGTGAAACGCGTAAAAAACACGAGTGACGCAATTTTCGTGATGCAAAACCACGACGCACAAAAGGTGCGCCTACCGTAATCACAAATTCAGACACCGTGTTGATAAAATTCCTTTTTCCTTCCCAGAGTTTTTCCTCTGCGTTTTTGTTGTTTTCTTTTTGTATTCTTTCTTTTGCACTGGATGATATCAACTACTGCGAGATGTGATAGAGAGACTTGTGAGCTAGGGGTGGCACAGAGACCGCAGGGAGGTGTGACTGTGAGGGAGCGATTTTATTTATGTTGTTCTGGAGGACGCTTCTTGCCTGTTTTCTTCTTTGGGAGATTACTTATCAGCTGCTGTTTCATAATTGGAAAGCAGCTATCCATGAGACTTTTATCGCGGGAGCTGTCTTTAAGCCGAATCCTATTTCAAAGGGAATCAGTCTTCGTCAAGGTGTCTGGAACACTAGGAAAAAGCTAGCCCAAATTTCATAGTTATCGATTGCTCCGCGGACAACATTTGTCAAGCAGTGTCGTAATAAAAACCCCAGACGATCTAGTTGACCTTGAACTTCTGGAAGGATCCAGAAAAGTACCCATGAAGCCCAGTTCATTCTGTTATGCCACTATTTTAGGCTTATCAACGAATGAGTACAGGATTGCTTCAAAAGAAAATTACGCTGAAAGTTGTTTTTTCGTTATATTTTTGCAACCAAAGTGTATTTGAACAATGTATATTTCGAAGATATTAGGAGAAATAGCGTCCATACATTTTCCCATCTTGCAAATGGTGCCTTTGGAGTTCCTCGGCCTTCAGCCCCATGCGTACTACATATTACTATAAGCATCACGCTCATATGCTTCCGTGTAGTCGCGTGCTGCACATGGTGGAATTATTTGGCAGTATCTCGTGGGTGTCAAAATATGTTTTCATAACCCGGGGAGCGGTATTAAATAGCCGAGGCTCTCAAATAACTGGCCCTCCTGCAGTGTATTTTTCAGCTGCACTCCCTCTCCCTCTCTCAGTTTTTCCTCGACGATCAAATGACCAAGCCCGTGGCGTGACTGGAAGCTCAAAAAATTTAATTGGGGCATTGCCTCTTGGCCTATCGTCCTTATCTTACGCCTGCAGTATTTCTTGACATATAAAGGATAAGCGGGTGTGGTGTAGTGACAAATGGACGCGCTTCACCACTCGCGGGGCCGGGTTCGAATCCCGGGTCGACACCCGCCCGGACCAACCAAGCCTTCTACCCTTCGGGGACGGTAAATTGGTACCAGATTCGTCTGGGAGGATAAAACACTGACTTGTACATCGGCTGGCCACCGCAAGTCATTGTATAGGCCACATCGCATTCAATAAGCCACTACGATTCTGAATGGAAGTAGAATGCGTGCCGCATCCCACAAAGGGATTGATCAACGGCGAAGACTTTATCCTTTAAAGGAAATAAAAAAAAGGATAAAGTCTCTCCAAACCCGGGGGGAACAAATTTTCCCCCCACTTTTAAACTTCCGAGATGCGGCACGCACTCGCTATAGTCGTCATTACGGGCACTTGATTAGGGCTGCAAAGGTCGCGACGCGGCTACAGCGCGTCGTGACCGCTGCGATCAGCTTCTCCCGCCCTAATTTGGCCATTTTCTCCCTAATTTTCACTGCACTTTCAATTTTTTTGAGGTTAGCTGTTCTATTCTTTATGAAGTACGTGAGGGTGTGGAGGTCATTAATTATTTTGTTTTTGCAATATAGCGTTTTTGCGATTCTTTTCAGATATTCGTTCAACTGTGTGCTCAACTGTGTAATTGCACGCAACAATAGAGGAATCTCAATCATAATTTACCTTGTGAAGACAAGGAAACAACTAATCTCGAGAAAAGCAGCCATAACAGTGTAAATTAGGGAGAAAATGGCTAAAATAGGCTGGAAACAGCTGATGGCACGTGACACGCCGCAACCGCGTCGCGACCCTTGCCACCCTAGTTAATGCCCGGATAACGATTAATCCACTTCAGAATTGTAAGTCGCCATGTCGACCAGGGATTCGAACCCAGGACCTCGCGAGTGTTAGGCGCGCCAAGTGTCACTACTCCGCCTACTTGAAATATAATTAAAAGAAATTCGAACTTTACCATACTATAAGGGACATTTATGTATCAATTACGGCTTGTTTTTTTTGACAATAAGAATTCCGTGAGCCACTCGCGCCCTCCAACGAAAAAATGCCGCTGTACACAATGACTTACGGAACCTTTCGTAACTCGATTTCGACCATTAGAGAGCCCGAAACGTATCAACAAAAATAAGGTTTAGCGAGTAAGTGGAAAACATATCTCGCGCCACAATATGGCCTGCCTTCCCTCTAACAATATGGAGCCCATCGTGAAAGACCAAAGCTGTGCTAGTGTTTATTACTCTCGAGGCATTGCAATGACGATTAACAAGCCTATCATTGCACTGCCCCTCCCCTTCCCCCCCCCCCCCCTTTGCTTTTGCAACAAGCGGCACCCTCTCAGCCTCACCTAGCTGACATTATCGCGTAAAATCTTATGAATGAGTGACGAGGCCTCGATGTACATTTCTGATTGCCATCTAGCTTCCGCCATTTCCTGTTTTCAATTCAAAAGGTAATTTGTATTTTTACGAATTCTGGAAAAAGAGTGCACTAATAATGGACACCAGCCTCACCATATAAATCGGGCACTCCGTTCGAAAAGTGATCACGTACTCGAAAAAGGCTGGCACTCGAAGTGCAAGAACACATAGAATAACTACTCCTATAGTTATATAGCGGCCGTTTTCTCTGAAATCAAGTTTTTATGGGAGGAAACGAACTCAAGAAGTCTTTCGGACTCACCTTACTAGGGATTGAAGCGAAGTAATATTGGCCACCACAATGAATCGTTCCATTGTCGCACACAATACCATGTATGTTGAGGCGAATTGGACTGAAATCATCCATAAAAGGACAAAGCTATCGGCGCCAGATGACCCCTCTTCTAGGCGCTCCAGTCATCTTAGTTTAATTCGAGATCAGAGTGCCATTTTGAGTGCTACATAGCCGATGCGATGGCGTTGAAGGCCAGGCGGTGCAGAAGAGGTGTTTTTGAACTCTCAAAGATAGCTGGTGCGGTTTAGCCGACCTCAGCGATGCAGGCTTAGCTAGCTTCCGTGGAAGCAGATCTCATCTGAAGCAATTCGGAGCCAGACGGACTTGATTTTCACTCCACTGAAGAGGTAAAAGTCCCTAATGATTAAAAAAAGTACGGTCCATATGGAAACCTTTTTCGCGCCGATCATGTGGGCGAGCCACGCCTACCACTACGCTGTTCCATTGGCTCAAAATTCCGTTTGCCGCTTCGGAACAGGGCACATCATTGGTTGGGATTTCCATCGAGTGTCCGTAGGACCCCCTTGCCTTGAAAAGGTGGCTTGATTCCCCCCCTTCTCCGCGAAGGAAATACGACACCCCTCTCCCAACATTGAGCAAATACGACCTTCCCTCACGACCAAATATGACCCCCTGTTGGGGAATCTGCAACGATGATCTGCCCTGCTTCGAATCGTATTTACAAATGGGAATGTGTTTGTGGAGATCCAAGTGGCAATGTGAAAACGACTATGTTAGTGCTAGAAGTAACACGGAAGTGATGCAGTATGTCGAGCCAACTAGCTAACTTCCTTGCTAGTCTCTGCTCCTTGTGTGAATCTCCTGAACTAGGCCTCCTTGATGGAAGGCGCAACGGTAAGGCTGACTCCGCTTACACGGCCATCATGGAATGTTTCTTTAGGTCACACTGTCTTCAGGAGCATGGCCTGGTGGGAGCATTCCTGGTTCCCATGGATCCCTCACCCCAATGCCTTCTGTGGAGACCTGTAAATTCCTGTAAAGCTATGCAATAGCAACAGGTCTCACCAAGATGTGAACGTGCGATTTAACGGGAACTAGCAAAATGAAACTACTGACGTGCAGAATGCTCCTCCCGAACCGAACAGCGCCCCGTCGTCCACGTGATCACTTGACTTTGCGGCTCCCTTCATCTCTAAGTAATCATTTGTCGCCGCTTGGGGAGAGGATCTCCCATCAAAATGAAAAGAGAGCACACATTCTCTTTTGACTGAAGCCAGAAGGGTGAGCAAGGTGATATGAATACATTCCTGTGGCGTCGGAGAGGCACTTCCAAGAAACGATTAGCGTAGCATGTAGTGGACGTTCAGGACAGGAAAAAACGAGGACGAATTTCAAAACCTACCCATTCGACTTGTGCCGAAGAGCAGCATCGCGTAGACATGCCATGTATGGTAAAGGAACTCGTTCTGATGATATATTGCAAGGGCATCAACGGTGAAAAGTGGAATATAGAGCAAATCCATGAGAAGGTCTGAAATACCAGTCAGTGAAGGACGGAAACAATCGTTCCCTCAAAAGAAATTCGTGTTCTCTTGAGTTTCATCCTCAGTAAAACCTTCACTACCGCTCACAAAGGCGCTAATTTAAGTTTGTTTTATTTTTCTGCTAGAGCCCGGTATACTATAATTGGATTTGTATGAAGGTGCTTTTGCTCGGCTTCCGTCTAAGGGCACGTGCGAAACGGAAGCTGAGCTATCTCTTTGCTTTCGACCCCCTCAATAATTCTCATTTATTAGATTTTACAACATAGTTCATTAATCTGTTTCAAAGATTTTATTTGATTTAGTTCTTTTTTGCGAATCCCTCACCAATATATCTGCTTTGTAAGGTAAAAGACCAGGTTGGCCTTCGTGGACGATCCCTGTTCTGGGCACAGAACCGCGCGTTTGACAAGCTGGTCATTTGCCACTGCACCGGTTCTGCCCGTTTAACTATACAGCATATAATGATCTTTACAACGCTGATGAAAGGAAAGAGGATGAAGTCTTGGT